AGACTGGGAGACTGGGGGCAGAGTGGGAGACTGGGGGTAGACTGGGAGACAGGGGGTAGACTGGGAGACTGGGGGCAGAGTGGGAGACAGGCGGTAGACTGGGAGACAGGGGGCAGAGTGGGAGACAGTGGACAAACTGGGAGACAGGGGGCAGAGTGGGAGACAGTGGACAAACTGGGAGACAGGCGGTAGACTGGGAGACTGGGGGCAGAGTGGGAGACAGTGGACAAACTGGGAGACAGGGGGCAGAGTGGGAGACAGTGGACAAACTGGGAGACTGGGGGCAGAGTGGGAGACAGGCGGTAGACTGGGAGACAGGGGGCGGAGTGGGAGACAGTGGACAAACTGGGAGACTGGGGGTAGACTGGGAGACTGGACGCAGAGTGGGAGACTGGGGGTAGACTGGGAGACTGGGGGCACAGTGGGAGACAGGGGGCAGAGCTGGAGACAGGCGGTAGACTGGGAGACAGGGGGTAGACTGGGAGACTGGCGGTAGACTGGGCGACGGGGCAGGGCTGGACCATGGGGAGCAGTGTGCAGTTTTATCCAGACCAGGAGTTGCTGAAATAAAAGGATCTGGAAGAACGACTGTGTTTTGTGTCCTGTCTCAGAATTCCCAGCTCTGACCAGGAGGAGTGCACTGACCCACTGAGACAGAGTGGATTCTTGTACATTTATAGGTATCTGTGCCAGGCATTGACAGCCACGCTGCTTACACATTGCCCTGCTCAAGAATAATGCGTTCAGCAATTACAGAAGAGCTTCGACCACGTGTTGTAAACTCTAGGCATACAAACCCTTGACAGGTCAGCTCCCGCCAGAACCTCTGGCTGCACTGATTGGTTCAAACCGACGCCTATCACGGTTTGGCGCTCTTTATTGGACAAACCTGCCATCGTCGGAGGGGCCTTTCCTCTTACCTCACGCTACTGTGGAGCCTATTGGTTGCCTCCCCTATCACTCACGTCGATCAGCATTGCTGATTGGCGCTCATTAGGTCTGGGGGCGTGGCGACGACTGCAGTGGGCGTGTTCCCTCATGGACTCTCTCTGGGAAGGGGGAGAAAGGGAGACAAGCTCGGAGACTGGAATCTGGCTCAAAAATTTCTTTATGAAATAGCGAAAGAGTAATATCTACAGTGACCCTCTACCGGCGAAACGCCTTGGAAGGAGAGGTAATTCTGGTTAAAACCGGAGTCGTTTGTCGTTAATTTCTCAGGTGGGCAGACGTCGTTTTGTAGAGAGGGGACATCTGCGATAAAGAGCGAATGCTTACAGCTAAATTTGTCCAAATTATGGCTTTTTGTAACAACGTTTATTTCGTAAAGATAACCCCTTACTCTCATATTTACTGCATATAATCACAAATATGTAACTATATAGTTTTTTTTGTGAGAAATTAAAAGAACGCGATGAGGTGTTTTAAATTCGCCCTCACCTTACGTCAGACCCGCGCGCCCTGCGAGCGCAGCGCATGGTATGCTGGGAGTTGATGTTTTCTTCGTCGTAACTCTCCTTCGTATTTAAAGAATTGCGGGAGATAAAAAAACTACATTTCCCATGACGTTCATTTGCCGCAGTAACACCGCCTTCATCGCCTTCAATGGAGGTGCTCAATGCAGATGACGAGTTGTTTTTAAAATACATTTATATTTTGAAGTCTTCCTTCCGCAAAGGTTTTGGATCTAAATCAGTACCCCTCGTTTCGTCTCGTCTCGCAGCCGAAGCTGCTGCTAATTCTAAAAGTGTGGAAAATTGAAAACGTGCGTGAGGTTAGTAGTGATCTCAACGAACTTCAACAACCTTTTGTGTAAAATTAGTTCTGCTCTACGCGTAACATCATTGAACACCTGAAAACGTTCGCTGTGTAGGTTTCTGCTATAGTCCGGTGTCCGAAGCCCAAGAACACTGTAGGACCTCTGTCCTGCAGCCACAAGGTCGCCACATCACGTAACATGTGTACTCATCTCTAGGTCAGATACTCAGCAGTAGGAGGTGTACTCCTTCGGTATTAATGTTAAACAGAAGTCCTGGTGGTCACTACAGACCCCAGGACACTGTCAGTAAGAGTGGGGTGTTGACCCTGGT